CCGAGTTGGTTCTATCCAATAAGCATGTCACTGAAGAAAACATGAAGCTAATGGAACCGAAGACAATTTTGCAATTTCATTCATGGGATTCATGATGTACATGATTTTTTTTATGTTGCATTAAGTAAGTTGAGACCATTTACTACTTTAACGAAATTTCAGAAATACTTTTTTCATGGAGAGTTATTAATATTAAATTAATAGAGTACCATAAGAAGTTTGTATTCACTACAGGAAAACTACGTATGAATGACAATGTTAGTATGTTATATGTTATGTTATATCACTTATATGTTATGTACATTAGTTTAACATAGACAGAGTACGTGGTAATTAGAATTGTGATTCTATAGATTTTTAAATTGCTCATTAATGACTTTGTTAAGCAATGGCTAGATAGCTAGCTATGAATTCCCTATTATACAATGAAAAGAAGTTGTTACCTTTGGTTCCACGTACTATACAAAAGGTGAATAATAGATCTTTTAATTTTTATTACCAAGTTCAGTCCTTAAAAGATCATGAAGCTTGCAAGGATGATCGTTGAGCTAGATGGACTAACTATTCAATCCTTTGCCAATTGGATTAATTTTAAAGATTGTGCTTTTACAAAAACTTAGAGCCCGTTTGGCAACCCAGTTTTTTGGTTTATCTGGCTTATCAGCCAGCTTTAATTTTCACCAAACACGTAAATTTTGCTTTCGCGCGCTGAATTGTGTAATAAGCAGAAAAAGTAAGATTGAAGTTACTTTTCTGGCTGTATTGGCTGAAGTTACTGTAGATGACTATTTTAACTATTTTTACATATAATTTTTTCTTATTTTATTAATAAAATATTTTTTTAAAATATTTTTTTTCTTAAATCAACAGAATCAGCCAATGCAGCCACTTCAGCCAGAACTTCATAAATTTCAGCAGAATCAGACAAAACAGCCAATTTTCGTGCTACCAAACGGGCTCTCAAGATCTATGGATAATCACTTTTCGATAAATCGGATGATATGATTGCTCCAATGAAATTTGATCTGGTTGAATCTATTGTTCAAACCATTTATCATAATTTTTAATTCAGACTAATCAAAAAATTGTCTTTAGTCAAGGGCTATTATATATTTTTCCGAGCATAGATAAGGTTGATAAGGTCAACAATAAAATAGATTCGAGTTAAAGACTTATCTAAATCCAGAGTCAGCTTCTTCATCAAACTCAAATAGTGACCTCTTACATGAGATATATTCTCCCGAGTTTCTAAATAGATATATATGTAAATAGAATTAAAAGATCGGGTTTTTTGAGGCATGTGCTAAAGCTGAAAGTGGAGGGTTTTATGATGCTTATGAGAATTATAGATTATTCATATGAATTGTGCAACGACACACGAATTATGGTCACTAAATTTGGAGCTCATAGTATCGATGCTCATATGACATAGTCATGGACCGGTCTCGGGTCGGGCCAGTCCTGGGCGGGCTTTTTGGGTTTGACTTCGGGCCCGGAACCGGCCTGGGTTTTCACCGGGTCCGGGCCGGGCTGGTCCCGGGCCAGTCCCGGGCTTCTTCAGTTTTTATTGCTTTTCTAATCAACCCCTTCCCCCTCTCCGCCCACCCCCAAACCCCCCCAAAACACCTAGCACAACCCGAGAAAACAAAAAAAATTAAAAAAAAAAACAAAAAAAATAGGCCTAAACTGGGCCCGACCGAGCCGGGCCAGTTCCTATTTTGGGTGACCCGAACCCGACCCGTAAAACCCCCGGGCTGGGCCTACCCGGACCGGTCTCTGATTTATTGCATGATGGTTCATATTTAAGTTCAATTTTTTAATACACTACTCCCTATTTATTTTAATGTTTACTAAATTAGGGTTTGACACAACATTTTAAAAAAAATAGGAATAATGAATAGTGTAGATAAAATAGGAGAAATGGTGCAAAAGTATGAAAAGAAATATAAAAAGTAGAAAAAGTAAGACTAATTGATGAGTATTTTTAAAAGAAAATTTACCAAAAAAATAGTGTAACAAAAACTAAAATACATCCCAAAAAAAGGTATAGCAAATATTTCAATACACGGGGAATATTAAATATGATTTCTTATTTTATTTTATGTTTTTAGGTAATTGGTTCATTATCAATTTCTGTTTACTATTTATATAATCCATTCTTTTTTTTTTTAAAAAGAAGATTTTATTGATATAAATAAAGAGTACAATGCGTGAAAGGGGAAAAAAAGTACAAGAACGAAAAAGAGAGAAAAAAGTACAAAATTAAAAGAAAAATCATTACTGAAAGAGCAAGATAGCTAATCCCATGGGAAATCTCTAGACTGTGACCTAGTTGTCATGCTGTGGCGCCTTTTGTTTTTTTGAGATTTCCTGTAGATTTTTAGCTGCGTGTTCAAATTTTCGGTTGGCATGCAATTTTCTGAGGTTATGAAAGTAGCTTTGCGGCAGATCGCTTTATTGAATTTGGATTTCCAAACTTCTTCTGGGTATGAGATAGGAGGACGCCGATCGCTCTCGGTTGCATGTCCCAAGAAGTCATTTGTAAAGAGTGAGTCATCAGAATGGTCAAAATCATCGGATGCATCTGAGTAAGCCTGGTTCAATGGTAGCTCGGGTTGTTTCCCAAAGGAGAAGACATGGGTTTTTTCAGCATCTGCCGTCTGGATCTGATAGTTGAAAATGAGTTTGGATATGGATGTGGGGTCTTCGGTTTGTGGTACACTCCTATGATGAAGAGATAATGAGTCGTCATGCACCGTCTTTGAGAGCCCTAGAAAATTAGACAAAATATCAAGGAATATAAAAAGGCTCGAGTAATGGCATCCCATGGGTATCCGAATGAAGCACCCCTTGTGTTTTGCCATTTTTACATAGTAGCGAGCTCTGTTAATTTCCACAGAAATCGTGAGATCTCCAAATCTCTTTTTGGTCTCAAAATTCTCCTGCGCGGTATTTGTGAGCTGGTAAACGAATCTAATGATTTCTGGGACTTCATCAAGGTTGAGGTGAATTTTATGCAGAAGGGATTTTTTAAATTGGAAGAGAACCAAATCTCTATTTTTAACTACAAATTTAAAATATGTAGTTCCAATTTTGACCGAGTCAAACCCTGATTCACCAAAAAAAGAGTATTTTTCACTGGCATTGAGTAGATCCGTAGCTTCCTCGATTACATCCGTTGAGGCCCTTTCCTTATCGTCCAATTTTTTTAAGTCAGATATATCTGCTCGGTCAACTGATTGGAGTCCAGCCTGGCCCGAATAGAGACTTATAGCAATCGACGAAGCATGGATATTATTTGAGACAAGTTCAGGCTTGTCCTTCTTGTCCGTATTCTCCGTACCGCCTTTGAGCAGCTCAGCCCATGTGCGTTTGGCTTTGCCAATGGATTGAGTGTCATCTCCAAACAGGTTGTCGGTTGTTGGCTTGAAAGCCGCTGGTCCTGGTGGTGAGACCAACGGAGGCACCGAAGAAGAGTTTTCCGGCCTTCGTATTTGGCCGTCGCTCTTGATTCGTCTCTCAGGTTTGAGACGCGCAGTGTTGTTTAGTCCCGGACTATCATAGAAACTGGGCGGAGAGTCTGATTCGACCTCAGATTCGTTGGGGTCGATTCTTAAACTTCGGTAGCGATTTGCGCTACTTGCTCCTTTATTGTTCTCTGAAATCGGTTGTACGGATGCCGGGATACTCAGAGATGGGTAATTTAGGTGTCGCCGTCCCCTGTATTTGACCAAACGCCACCCCTCTTCAGGTTTCTTTGTGTGGATTGGGGGATGTTGTTGATGTGGCCGTATCAGGTGACGCGGATGAGCGCAATTTCGGTCCCACACAGAGCTGATTCGAGCTTTAGGACGGGCTGGGGGGTTCCAATACTCTTGTGTGTAATCCCTTGTATGGGTGTTGCCTAATGGGTGTTGCCTGGTGTGATACGCAGGAGTCCGGTAATTGTGTGTGTAACCCCTGGTGCAGTTGCAGTTAATCGGCTCTGAAGGGTAAGAGCTGGAGTGATATTCAGGTGACCGAATCCTTCTATTTTGGTGTTGCCTGGTGTTGTTCCGGTCTATCGGCTCAGAGTATTGATTGAGAGAAATACCTGGTCTGGAAGGAAGTGTTCCTTTCTTTGTGCTTCTGTCGCTCGAGAACCTGGAGTGATAATTCCAGAATTCTTGGTTTGGATTCCCATAGGTGGTGTTCCAATAGCTGGTTCTAGGGGAAGTTCCCCGTGTGTACTTAAAATTTTCATGGTAACGTAGCTTTTCCCGGCTGTGAGGTTGCCACTTTTCCCGGCTGTGAGGTTGCCGGAGTCCCATAAGCACATTTAGGATCTGACTGAATTGTTTTTAGAGAGATGGAAGAGCTTCTCTCTCTTCATTTTTCTCTCTTCCGCCTATTACTCTAGTGTTATTCTTATATAATCCATTCAAAATGTTATGTATGTGCTTCACTCCAGTGCAACGCACGGGTGGAATAACTAGTTTACCCTCAATGATAGGTTTGAAATTTAAGTTTTAGGTGTTCAATGTGCTAAATTTACATATACGAAGTATGTACTTGCATATTTTTCAAAATTTTATGTAAGTGTTCATATGTATGTTATTTGTTCCACACCGGATATCTTTATAGCAATTAAACAATATACTCCATATTAAGATCTGGGTTCTTCCTCCTATCAGCTTAACTTTTTAGGATGGAACCTCGGATCTTAACATTGTATCAGAGCCAAATCGATCCATGGTGTGGGCCCCCTATGACAAAATGATGACACAATTATAAAAAAATGACAATGACGAACTGATTGAAATAATGAATGATGGAACGATATTAAACACTATATTAGGATCTGGACTCCTCCTATGAGGTTGAAATATAGAACCCCGCTGAATTTCTTTTGTGGCACTTGCAAAGTTGTAAATTGAATTTATACACGCCGTGGCGTGTACAAGAAGAACTATCCATAACATAATCATGCAATGCAAAACAAGCATTTGATCATCACCTACCTCCATTAAGCCAAAGAATGAGAGGCTTAGTAGCAGGAGTGTCGACAGCTTCGGCAAAGTAATAGAAAAGGTTCCTCCCATTCTTTTTGTTCACATTAACATAGCCTGCATACTGCTTGAACTTCTCTTTCGATGGCTGTCCCGGAAGGCCGTCGACGATGAGATCATCATCTGCACTTGTATTATCGCCTGAATACGACTCCACATCTTCATCACCATCAGCATCTTCAGTGCTTGAGTTTTCCCATGCTTTTCCACTAGCGGTATTATTGACAAGTAGCTGAAAATTTGTTGTAGTAGCAAAGCGAGTGGAGGCCCTTAATAAGCTTTGGGCTTGATAGCCATGCCCAAATTGAAAAAATGTTACAATGACTAGAACAAAGAACACAAGGAATTTTGTGTAATTTTTCTTTGCCATGGATATCAAATTATCGAGAACGTATATTATAAAGCACGGTGTACTTCAAGCCTTCAACTATATACGTTGGAATGGTGGGGGAATATATATATATATATATATGTATACATCTATATATATGGGTGATAAGTTCTTGTAATTTTAATTTAAAGTCATGGTCCAATACTCCAATTGACTAACTTTTGTAATAAAACGCGTTTGAGGTATTTACCAATTTGGTGATTTCAATTTGGGGGTTTCATACTAAAACTTTTTTATACAAATATGACTACTAGTTATTACATTCTAGTGTCATGGTAATTAAGCAAAATTTGAACATAACTTACTATAATTTCATTACTAATTTAGTCATTAATCATATTTTTATAAACAACTCTCATTTTGATAGTAAACATGTACTACGTTATAATTATTTTTAATTTACATCACTCGCTACGAATTACAATACATGGATTTAGTCTGTAGTCCGCCTACTTTTAACTTGACCCGCTATCTTGTAAAGACTTATGTTCCATAATTTTTGCCTTTAGGACTTGTGAGGTTTTATTACCCTTTCTGGTCGAGTGCCAATCTCATTATTCAACGTTTTTGGGCTGAATTGAATTATCATTATCTTCAGTATTGACAAGAATATATCCCCTCCTTAATTATGCAATTATCCCATTTTTTCATTTTTGAACGTCTCATATAATCGTGTCATATCATATTTGGTAACATTTGTTTGACACTAATTCATTTTAATTTTATTCTCACTTTATCAACAACATAATTCTATTTTTCTTCAAAACAAAAAACCTTATTCAGACCCAAATTTAGGAAGACGGGGAAAATAAATACTACCTCCGTAACTTTGGGATGTTCTTATTTGAAAATTAGGTAGATTAAGAATAGTGAAAAGAGATGTGCATTATTGGGAGTATGATGGGAAGATAGTGAAATAATGTGATGGAATGAAAGATAAATCCAAAATAAGTAGGTGTAATAGTGTGTTATTTTTAAAATTATTAAAGGTATGATGAGAAGATTTAGAAATAGAAATATACTAATATTACGTCCAAAAAAGGAAATTAAAGTGGAGGTAGTATCATTCTATAATTTCTAGAAATATGAGTAATAAGCATTAAATTTCCTAATTTATCATCTAGAAACTTTATCTGACAGTCACCTAACCCGGCATGTTGAGTCTGACTACCACTCCGGTGTCTATTCAAAAGAATATGCAATTCGAGATTATGGTCATTATTTACTTTGAAGGGTATTAAAGGCAATTAATCCCTAAAATGGTTAAATTTTCATCCCTATTGGGTTTAGTCAAAGTTTGTCCTTAATTACACACTTTACAGGACATATTTCAAATATTATTTTTATTAATCATGAGGTTTTACCCTCAAATTATGCCTGCAATCAAAAATTTGTGAACATTAATTATATACATCCTGCATCCGAGTGCAATATTTTCACTACAAAGGTTAATACAAGTAGTTGAACCTAATACCCAGCTTCCTTCGCATGCATATAGAAAGTTTTATGTGACTGTCATTCATGTAAATTAGAATTCTCGCCCGTGCATTGCACGGGGTGATATTAGGGGTGACCATCGGGCGGGTTGGGTCAGGCGGGTGGGTAAAATCAAGACCCTTTCAGGTTTCGGTTGTGTAATATGGATATCCTACCCTAGGTTTTTTTACTTGTATGTTTTCGGGTTTGTTTGCATTTCGGGTAGGGCGGGTTCGGATCGGGTATCGGGTCAATTCAGTTTCACTTTCACAACTGCAATTTTTGTAAATCCAAGTGTAATCCAATGAAATTGCTCAAAAAAAAAAAATCCCATACAAAATGTGCATTTGATACCAGATATCAAAATTACCAAATTACTCAATTACAAGTCATTAAGTAACACTGTAACAGAGTAGCTTAGGGAGGGGATCAAAATGCAGTTTTGTAACATAGAGTTTTGGCATTAATTACTTAATTACAAGTAATTAACATCCGAAGTGGCAAAGTTCCAAGTTCCAACTAAGCAAAATGAATACATCCACTCAGGCAGCCCAATCAGGGTCCTTGCTTGAACATTTCAAATTCCACACTTCCGCACTTGACAGTTCCACAACCATTTTCCACACTTTCAAAATTCTACCTGCATATGTCCAATAACAATTTAACAAGAATAACTGGATAAGTTAATGAAACAAATTAGAAAAATCATTGGCTCAGAATGCTTACTATCCTTCACAAGAAATACAGGGGCAACTGCTACAATTTCAGTCAAAACTTACATGTTATGAACTGAAAGAGCTATACCAACCCTAAACCATACATTCAGTAATGTCTGGAAGCTTCATCATAGCCAATGAAAAGTAATATAAATGAATAAATGATAGAGGCATGGATGAATGGGATAATGAGATACTTACGCAAAACCTCAAAATCAGATCAAGGGACAAGGGTCCAGGGACAGTTGGCTGCATGTGCACGCTTTCCAGAATGACAGAATCATACTCATTCAAATATAATGAGCACATAATACATTATACATAGGTATAGGGATTCACATGTACAACAAAAATATACCAGATTATGAAATTAAAAACATGTGATGACACAACTAAAAGTTACAAATGTTACAAGGACAAATTATGAAATTAATGAATGAAACCAGACATTTCATAGAGCTCAGAATGCTTATTATCATTCACAAGGGAAATAGGGGGCATCTGCTACAATTTCAGCCACACCTTACCATTTTATGAACTGAAAGAGCAATACCAACCCTAAAACCTATATGCAATAATGAGTGGAAGCTTCATCATAGCCAATGTCAAATAAAAGAGCTTTGTACTCATGTTCATACACTGATACACATACAACTGAAAAAACAAGCACATAATGGCAGAATGAAACAAACCAGATATTTCATAGAGCTGAGAATGTTTATTTTCATTCACAAGGGAAATAGGGGGCATCTAAAAGAGCAATACCAACCCTAAACCCTATATGCAGTAATGAGTGGAACTGTGGAAGCTTGACCATACTGAATGCCAAATCATGTTCACGGTCTCATAGACATTCTAATTGAAACAAACCAGACATTTCAGAGAGCTCAGAAAGCTTATTATCAATCAAAAGGGAAATAGGGGGTATCAACTACAATTTCAATTACTTTTTTTCATTAATGAACTGAAAGAGCAATACCAACCCTAAACCCTATGAATTGTAATGAGTGGAAGCTTCATCATAGCCAATGAAAAAAAAAGCACATAATTGCATAAATGTACAATAAAAATATAGAAAATGTACAGTTATTGGCACAATAGAGGCTCCAGTAGGAGCAGAAGCTCCACCAGCAACATTTGCATCCATGATTTCTGTAACAAACAAACACATTGTTAGAATTTAGATGTTTAAACAACAAGCTTCACAAATCATAATAAGTAAATAAAACATGGAAAATACACAAATCTTATACCTTTTTCTAGTCTCTCTACATCTTCAATGTTTTCTTCAACTGAGATAGGCATGTGAGCCTTTTTCAACCAATCTTGTGCACATATAAGGGCTTCCACAATTTTACAACTCAATAAACTCCTAAAACAGTCCAAAACCCTCCCACTTGTACTGAAAGTGGACTCAGAAGCAACTGTTGAAATGGGAACTGTGACACTCCAAAAAAAAAAAAATTTGAAATAAAGTATATTAATTTTATTAGTCGACCAAAATGTTACGACAATCACATTTTAATAAGTAAGTGAACAGATAAAATTTTAACATCGGTGACATTTTTAGTCAGATAAAATGTATCAATAACAAAAGTGACGTTTTTGTAACATGCGATAATTATACATATGACATGACATAAAAATAAAAGTGACATTTTAACAATTTTAATTCATTTATTAATTAATAGTATGAGTATATAAGAACACATCAAATATCATACGAAAATAAATGTTGAGTCGTTGACTTTTGAAATCCAATAATACATGAGTATTACACATATCAAATTATCAATAATAATAGACTCACAATAGCCTACCAATAATATCACATGATGTGTTTGGATTTTGAATTGCCATCCACATGGGTAGCCATTCGTAGGTACATGCCACTCTTCATGATGCATATATACAATGATATAATAAAATATATACTCCGTACTAATTAAGAAAGAAAATAATAATAGAGATAATCAATCAAAGGGAGGAAACTCCCTTATGTTATGTACGCACATGACACTGATACCCACATGGGAGGGATACTTCCTCCTATTTAGAGCACAACAAAGCACCAGCAAGGTGAGAAGCCAGAACCATCATACGTTAGCTTCACAGAAAGTGAGAAAACCACCTGCCCTTCAACCTTAACATACACCCGGCCAGAAAAGCATGCCGAACCCAAAAGTAGAAGCTAGACCATAGCCATGTGTGAGAGAAAGAGAGGGTGGTCGGAGAGGGAAATTGCCGGAGCATAATAAGATCGTCACCGGAGGACGGAGAAGACTCGTCGGAGTAGAAACCCAGTTGTTTCTACGGACAGTCGGACAACTTTCACGCTAGAGGAGACGAAGCCACTGTCGTCTAGACCGCTGCCGTTTCTCGCCAGGATTGCCGCTGCAGTGGATGCCGGTCGGAGATGCTGTACCGTCGCAGTTCTGCTGATACGTACGTAGTATACTGCTATATTACGTATCTCGTCTGCTTTTTAATTTGGGTTAAGCTGCTTTCCCAACTTGGGCTGATTAAACTGATAGATATATACGTACTCTGTATATTCTAATGGGACGATTAATGAAATATATAAAATTAATGGACAAACAATCATAAATGAGTTTTGAATTGAAATGGAATAATTTATAGGATAGATTAAATTGAAATAGAAGAGACAAAAAGATCAAAGATTACTGGACTATTTGATTAAACCGAGTAATGAGAATTATGAGATAAAGATATACTCTGTATAAAATATGGATTTGGGTAAGGGCTAACAAGGGATTAGAACAATTATTAATGCTAGAATTTTTAATATTCTAGAAGGTGATTTTGAAGATCGAGATAAATGTTTCAAATAGGATTAACTGTGA